CATTTAGATCGACATAAATTAGCCAATTAAACGACCTTGAGATCACAAGATTATAGGACCAGTTTTCAACTAGTCCTTAAAAGTCCGGGTTTGGACCTGGTCCAAACTAGTTCCCCGTGGACCACTTAACATCCCTACTGAAGATTCATATTGCGAAATGCGGGTAATAAATTAAGCTAATCTGAATAAGTCTATGACCAAAAAGGTGGGTTCAAACTTTTTTCATCGTGATAATGAACTACTTACTGGTTAAACTAATTTCACTTGAGAGAACCCTAAATCAATATAAATAAAAATTTAAACGAGAAATTAATCAATATATTGATTGATAGTGTTCAATTGAAAAATAAGAAAAGGTGTTGAAGATGCTTAATTGAAATATCCTATTATATGACGAAGAGCTTTGTAGACCAATCTCAGTCTATTAAAAGATTTTTAGAGCTATAAACTTCTTTAAATACTATTTTGTTCTAAAATCAATGCAACTACAGTACTGTATCGGTATTGCCTACCACAGCTTGAGCCATGGCTATAAATATTTAATTTAATTTTCTTTGATTAAATGATTATACAGAGGCTGATATATTAAAAATAAAAATTTTAAAACCGAAAATATAAGTTTATATGGCCTTAAGTAGCTGTTTATGCAAATACAATAAGTAATAGATCATGTTTATAATAATATACATATGTATGTAAGTGGATATAGAATATTTGTAGATTTGAGATTCACTTGGATCTTAAAAAACTTAAGTGGTTACAGAATTTTATGTGAATATATTAATAATACGAAAATACATTCGACACTAGTTACGAATATATATGAAAGCTAATAAAATTATTATTATTCCAAAAACTTTTTTTATCTAATATGTCAATCGAAGAATATCCTTTTATTTCACAAAGAAACTATTATCTTATTATCGCAAACCAATTCAAATGCTCAAATACTAAAAAATGACTGAAAACTCAAATGTGGAAAAGTAACAATCACTTTGAATACTTTATTAAAGATTATATATTCTCCAAATAAATTGTAAAGAGACATGCAAAAATGAAATTCTCAATCCCACCTGTGTGTGAATGACCTTATGCCACTTGTACTGGTCGAATATAATGACTGAGATCTACTAAGAAACCTTAATTGCTTAAATTTTAGATAAATTTTTGAATAATCTACTGCAATAAGTTATCACCAAAAAATCAGAATATATAAAACACTGAGCAGATCACACAAGTGTAACGTATTAAAGATAATAATTCTAACTCTACTAAATATTTATTCATTTCAAAATTTTGTCACAGTCAGAATAGTTCTAAATTCACAATAAAAACTCATTTATTTTTTAGTTTTGATGTTCCAGATCTTTTAGATAAGAAATCATAAAATGCCTTTTGTGGTAGTTCAATGTTTCCTTTTTTAAAATAAAATAAGATAGAAATTGTATTATATAGTAAACAGATACATTTTATGTTAAATTATAATGCATACCAATCATCTTCATCTTCTTTTTCCCTTCTTTTTGTTTCTCAAGTAGTTTCATTTTTCTTGTTACATCTCCTCCATACTACATTTTTATTCGATTGTCTAAGATTATTTAATTTTTATATTAAAGCAGCAAACGATGTGAAATAATATCATACTTACACATTTAGCAGTTACATTTTTCCGCATTGCTGCTATCCTATTTTTATTATTATTATTATTATTATTATTTAAATAGTTCTAAAACAACAATCACTAAATAACTTGAGTTACTAACGTTTCTCTAGCCACGACTTTCCCACCAATGGCTGTTTGAATTACCACTTCATATAATTGCCTTTTGATGAAAATTTTTCAAAAAATAATTTTAGTTTTACTTTATTTTGCCTTCAGATCTATCATTTGAATATTATGGTTTTTTTATAAAGAAATTTACTTGGGTATAACTTCACTCAACTTCTTGGCCCATTCTCTTCCAACAAATGATACTTGAGAGCGGTGTAAAATAGCTGCAAGTGCGTCTACTGGCTTTTTGTTTATCAGGACATTCATCTATTTTTTTATACAAAATGATAGCCAAATATCAATATTATGCTACAAACTTTAAATAAACAATACTAACTAACCTTCACAATATCAGATGGTTGATATCCCATATCTTCATAATCAAAACTGAGATTAAAATAATTAATATAATTTTTATAATTTCATGAATTTTCAATTCAACAAAACTAAAATACCTCGCATAACCACTCGATCGTGATTTCAAATCATCATGAAAATCTGTTACAATTTCAGCTAATGGCATAGAATATCTCATAATAACTCGCGTCTCGTCTAAATAATTATATTCTAACTGTTCGCCCCTACGAGACTGCATATGCATCATATTTACAAATTAAGATGAAACAATAGTTTAAATTATCACTATATATATACAAAATAGTATTACTCTAAAATAAATTAATTTGTTTTTGTTGAAATGCATACACCACAAAGATCCATTATTGAACCTGTATATTCCTAGATAAAATAGTTTAATTATATGAGAGAAAAGCGTAAATATAACATAGTATGATATAACAATAAAATATAAATTACCTCCGGAGCAATAACTGTCACCATAACCATTGGTTCTTGTAATCCAATTATTTTATGTGACATTTCATTTGGTTCAGGAAACTCTGATGGATTGCGGATTAATTTTGATGTACCATCTCGATAAATTACTAATCGATGAAATTAAATTTAACCTTAAATTTCTTTATTTCCGATGTATCTATAAAACAAAGCTGATAAATGAACAAAAGAATCTTTTGCAAACTTTTATAAGGTACAGTTGGTTGAGTGATGATAACATTAGCATCATATTCCTAGCATATACAAATGTTCATGCATACTTATTAGCATTAATCATAAAATACATCAAAATGGATAAAAGATGTTTTTGTACATACTTCCTCTAGTCTTTGTTGAAAAACATCCATATGTAATGTTCCTAAAAATCCAATACGCCAACCTTGTCCCAATGCCGTGCTAATTTATGATAATATCAGATGTTTTAATAAAAATGCGATATATATATATATATATATATATATAAATATACCTAGTCTCTTTCTGAACCGACACACTAGCATCGTTCAATGTTAATTTTGCAATAGATTCATCTAGCTTATTGAATTCATTAGTATCTATGGGAAATATGCCTGCGAATACCTGCTTATCAAAAAAAATTTGGTTTGTAGTTGTATATTATAAATGTTGTGCAAAATCCAGTAATTACCATCGGCTTTGCAGGCTCAAACCCTGGTAAAGGATCAACAGGACTTTTGATATGGTAAAATGTATCTCCAATGTGTGCTTCAGCTGTTGCTTTCATATTGCATATTACATATCCCACTTGACCTGCATGCCTTTTATTTTCAATACAGTCATATATTAGAATATAAATATTCAAAAGTGTTGATAGTAAACGAAAATAAATATTCTGTGCGTACAGATATCCTGTTGGCACTTGTTCTGGATGCATAATTCCAATATCAGCAACTTCATATTTATGCCCTGAATGTGCTGAGACAATCTTATCACCTATAACATTAATAAAAAAAATAATAATGTAAAGAAACCCGTTTTTTCAAAAGCATTTCAGATATGTATGTAAGCTTATAAAAACCTTTTTGTAATTTTCCATTTACTATTGCCATTAGGCAAACGACCCCGACATATGTATCGTACCATGAATCAAAAAGAAACGCTTTCAATGGTTCGTTTACATCCCCAGTTGGACTATAAATTTAAAATTAAAAACTACTTTATCCACATAACATTTTGAAATAATCTTAGTAATAAATCAAGTCGAGTATATTAAATTACTGAGGAATTTTCTCTATCACATTTGGCAAAATTTTGTCGACATTAAGGCCAGTTTTTGCCGATATCTAGAAAATAAATATGATTTTCTTGTTAATTTGGCATTAGAAACATTAATATAAATAAGATGCTAATATCCAACCAATGAAATATTTGTAGTGTCAAGCTCGAATGTACTTTGGATTTGTTTTGTTACCCGTTCTACGTCAGCAGCTGGAAGATCAACCTATATGTAATATGAATAATGATGAATTGATTTTATTTTTCTAAACTTTGTTTAAAACAAACAAAAATAAAATTACTTTATTAACAACAGGGATTATGCTCAATTCTTGGTTATATGCCAACCAGAAATTGGCAACAGTTTGAGCCTGTAATCCTTGAGCTGCATCTATTAGTAGAATAGTCCCCTGACATGCTGCAAGAGACCGAGATACCTCATAGTTGAAATCCACATGACCCTAAAAAACCAATCCAATTTGAGTTGCAAGGAAAAAGAAAAATTTTGTATCTACATGTCACTCTAATTATATCGACATTTTTGAGACATTACTGCATTAGTAAAAAAAAAAAAAAAAAAAAAAAAAAAAAAAATTCAAAGTGTCGATACAGTAATAGTAAGCTATACCGACATTTTAATTAAATTTTTTTTTTTAAAAAAAAATCGATATACAGTAGAAAGATTTTACCATGATGTCTTATATCCAAATGTCAGTATAACCAGAGTAACGTGTACAATACTAATGAACACCTACCGGCGTGTCAATTAAATTAAGTAAATATTGTCTATCGTTATGCTTATAGAACATGGAACATGTCTATAGGCACAGTTTGATTCCAGTTAGTAAAAATTAAAGATTTTGAAGGAAGCAAAATATTTCCAGAATAGTTTTACCTGTGCCTTTATCGTGATACCTCGTTCTCGCTCTACAGTGAGCTTGTCTAAAACTTGATTATGGGAATGATGCTTATTTATTGTGCCTGTTAATTGCAAACTAATAAATATGTTGAATGCTTAAATTACATAATTCATGTGATCCATTCATTACCTGTAAGCTCTAAAAGCCTTAATCATACGGAGAGCAATTTAAAGAGTTTATTATCATTTGATTGGTTATTTTTTTTAGATATACTAAAAATTGAGCAAGCAGTCTTACCTATCCGCTAGTGTGCTTTTACCATGGTCTATGAAGGCATTAAATACCAACGATGAAAAAATTAAGGCCGAAAAACTAATCTCTTTAGTTCTTTATAAATCAATCAAGCTTACCTACCAACATGAGCAATAATACTAAAATTACGAATATTTTCTGCAGGAATTTTTGTTAAATCTACATCGCTCTTGAATAAATAATTCGTTATTTTAAATAGTTATTAATCTTTAATGCAATTAATAATTGAGATAATTGAAAACTTTTCTGGAAAGAATTAGGCCGTGTACCGATGCATTTAATGTGGATTGCCACCTTTTTATTTGTAGTCTTTTATGCCACCCTTCATGACTTCTAAAATTATAAAAATATTTGGCAAAATACATTCGATTGACTAAAGATCCACAAGAAAAGGTTCGCATTGAAATGTTTAAATTTTTTTGTAGCATAATTTTATCATATTTGGTTCTATCAATAAATATTGCACTCCTAAAAATATAAATTTATATGAAAAAGTTAAATGCCGCGAAAATTCTGGTTTTAGACTACTTTCCTGTATAAATATTTGTGTAACGTCGATCCCGGAAATCATCGGAATCGAATGTCTCCTATGCTCCAGGTTACAGGAGCGACCGTCGATGTTACACGACTGGTTTTTCACGCGGTGTGAAACACATAAAAAAATTATTTTACAATA